ATTTTTTCAAAGGAGAGCAGATACAGGTGACTTATGATCATATCAACATACTAATCATTCCAAAGCACCTGTACACAAAACCTGTTCAACAGAGAGAACAGGTGGGAGTAAACCAGCATGACAGGAAGTATTGCCAGGTTAAGGCTAACGGGAGTAATGGAAACAAGGTGCAGATTTTAAGGATGCACAAATATAAGCAACCCTGGCAGTGAGAACGCCTTAAAATTTTGTGCACAGACAACTTGACCGTCCTCACTGAAGTTCAGAAAACATGCAACATTTCATTCCATTCTTATGGAAGAATTTTGCCTACTAACCTCTGAACTCCATTATGATACTTTATAATTAACTTTAAAAACTAAAGCATTTAAATTTCTATAAAAGAAAAAAGTGACACCTTTAATCCTAATACTCTTGATGCAAAGGCAGATGAATATCTGTGAGACCAAAGCCAGCCTGATCCACAACTCTACATGGTGAGTTTTAGCCTGCTGGGACTATTGGGAGAGTCTATCTTAAAAAAAAAAAAAAAAGACAACAGAAAGAAAAAAAGTATTATAAATACAACAAATGCTTTTTAAAAAGCAGTTTCTAGAATACAGAAACACAATTTTTAAGTGATATTCTCTAAGCACAAGACATATTCTCAAGACATTTAAAAATAATGCAATTTTCACATGAATATTTATATGTGATAATTCATAGCAATATATTTGTACACAATAGTTCATAATATATTAATCATATTAACTCAGTCCACCAACTAATGAATTGGAAAACTATGTAATACACTTATACAATGAAATAACATCTGTTCTTAGAAGGAAATGGAGTTCTGATATATACACATCAGGAATGACACTTGAAACCATCATGTTAAGAGAAAGAAGGAACATGTTGTAGGACTCTTTATCTATGCAGTGACTAGAAAAGGCAAATTCATAAAGGCAGAGAGTTAATGAGTGGCTAGGAAGGAGGATAGGGGATATAGAGAATGACTTCTACAAGTAAACAGTTTCTTACTGAGGTGATGGAATGTTCTGAAATTAGATACGGGAGATAGTTATACAATGTGGTAAGTAAAATCTGCTGAGTCATATTCATTAAGATAATAAAGTATATGTTATTCTGATGTATAACTAAACACTAATTTTTTAAAGCTAAATAAAGCAAGTCTGGCCACTCTTCTTTACATAACTAGAATATATAGAGCACATTTTATCTCCTGGCACATTTGTAATTACTTAACTTACTCATTTCATCCTCAAAAAATCCTATATGTTTTATAGATGAGGAACCTGAGGCACCTGGTGGGTTAAATAATTGATCAAAGCCCGTTTTCTTTTGTTTGGTAACTTCTAAACTCAGACTACCCCCACTAACATACCAGAAGTAATGCCCTTTAACAAGTTGGGACTACCCAAATTCCAAAAAATTTTTGAGGGAACATGCCCTCATTAGATCATTTAGGAGGGCATTTAGAATGCCCTCATTCTTGTCAAGTTCTATCTATGGTTGTTTTACCACTGAAAAAGGAGAGCCAAATATTGTTGACAGAGAGCAGATCCTGAAAAGTATAAACCACTCCTATTTGTCCCTTAACAGAAAAAAAAAAAAAACTGTACCAACCCTTGGATTATGATATGTATGCTATTATAAAATTCTCCATAGCCACTAAACATTTTATCATGCTCAGTCCTAAAGAATTCTTAGAGCTCCTTAATTTCTTTAAATGTCTATTAAGTAAAAATGCAGCCACACTCACCAGCTCACTCACAATGAACTTAATGTTTGTGTTCCCTTCAAATTAATATATTGAAATGCTAACTCCCAAGGTAATGCTATTAGGAGGTGGGTCCGTTAAGAGATACTCGACTATGAGAGTGCAGCACTCTTCAGTGGGATTAGTGCCCTTATGAAAGCAACCCGAGAGCTGATTTCACCCAACCATCCTAAGACATTCACCAAAAATATGGCCACTTACGTACAAGAAAGCAAGTTTTATTGTGATTGTGATTAGGCCAGTACCTTGACCTTGGTCCTAGCAGCCTCAGAATCATGAGAGCTAGCTTCCTGCTGCCCACAGACCACCCAGTCAATGGTATGGCATCTCAAAGACCATCCTCCTACTAATGAAACTACTGTGTCCTTTAACAAATTATTCTCAAAATATTTGAATTAGTTTATTTGACATATAACAAAATATGAAAATGATTAAATTTTGTTGGCTCAAGTACCTTGACTTGGAGAAAATTCTGACTGCCTCACCTGAAGAAAGGCATTTCCCTTGGTTGTCCAGTGGTCTCTTAACACTGAGGCTAACCCTAAATGGAGTCACTGTATGGGCAGCCTAATCAGGTCACTGATTAGCCATGGATTGTGGAAAGGAACCACTGTTCCAGCTACACAACTACAACTCCCTTCCTTGCTTGGAAAGCTTCCATGGAAACATCTGTTTTTACAACCAGTTGTAACAGTAAAAGGGTAGCTGCCTTGCTTATTGTCTTCCTTTAGTGAATGCTGTGCCACTTGGTCCTTTTCTCTTCATGATTGAAGCATCCATTCTCTTACTAGTAGCTCAAGAATCTCTCAGCAGTTGTTCCTCTATTTGGGAACAGATTCAACTAAACATCTTATTCAATGTCATGTCCCTTTTCCCAGAGGCAAGTCACAAATAATAAGTTATGAATGCAGAAATATAAAAGCCAGTCCCACTGTCTCAAGGAAAATGGTGAAGGGCCACCCAGCTCCAGAGTTCCTGTGCAATGAAAACTTCTGTAGGACTTGATTACAGTAAGACTTCTGCACATCCTTTTCTTACCCCAAAGTTATACCATCCCTAGAATGCTGCTGCCTTGTCTCAGAGGCTATTTCCTGAGAAAATACATTCTTGTCAAGTTCTTCCAATTAGAAGGCACATGTGGCATTTGATATTATATCTGAGTTTGAGAAGAAAAATGACCAAATATAGCTCAGCATATTCTGCTCTCTCATTTTTTGGTCTAGGCAAGACGTGCTGGCTCCTCCTACTGCCCTTTGCAGGGTAAACTCTGTATTGAACCTCAGGTTATGCTTTTCAGAGGCATCTCTGAGCAATCATCAGATGTCTCTCTTTTCATAGTAATGAGGCTTGAATTGTGATACAGATGTCTATGTGAATCTTTTCTGAAGTCGAGATTTCCTTTGGTATTGATTATAAATTTAACTGAAGGTAATAAACTATCCATTTGTAGCAGTTAGTCTAATCAAGAATCTCTGATGATTATGCCAATAATTTATCTTTATTTATGTGATAGCTTTGTTTTTTCAAATTGGGCCAAACTTCATAGAATAGGGATGAAATAATTGCTACCTTAAAATCACACTGACCATTGGCACATACAATATGGAAGTCTCCCTTCCATAGTACTAATCAGTTTAATAGTATCAGTTACCCATTTGCTTCCTAAGAACACACTTAGTTTGACTGTACAGAGACCATAGAGCTTCTATCCTGGAAATCTCTTAAAGAACACAAAAATATCACCTTTGATAATTTGAAATGCCATATATAAGCTTGAGAAACTTAGAGTATATATGATACATATTGACACATACATTATATATTATATGAATGTACTATGTATGTGTTGATATTACATATAAAGGGAAAGAGAGGTGGGGAGTTGGCCATGATGACCTATATAGTGAGTTATCAATAAATACTAAATAACAGCTCAGTAAACCCAAAGGGAACCTCTCAAGAATTTTCCATGAACAAAATCCCTTTCTTGTGAACTTCCAAAAGTTAAGAGCATGGATTTTCATCTTAATGAGACTACTCGGGCTGAAATTCTGAACAATGAGTGACCAAAACTCACTCTCAGCTTCACAAGTACAAAAGCAAAAGTAAGCAAATTATCACAGAATTAGAAAAAGAGAACAGCAAGAAATTATGCCTATTCCCCTTATTGATAGAACATTCCAAAGCAGAAAATATTCCTGCCCTGCTAAGAGACTGTTACTCTGACCACTCAGGGACCACAGATGTGAGACACAGAAAAGCTTCCTGGAACACACAGCTTGTGATGGCAGCTACTACACAGCTCCAGGAAAACCTGACCCCAGACACAGAAACTTCAGATACTTTCATTCTGTTACTGCCTGACAAAGGACAAAGGGTAGCTTCTAAGGCTTTGTCCCATAACATAATCTTCACCAAGAGAGAATGGTGCCCCCACCAAAGATGGGACAGAAAGTTGAAAAGGCAGGAGAAGTGAGTGAACACAAGTAGAATGCTAACACCATGATCTTGAGAATGAGTGAATTCTGAAGATGAAGGCTCTGTAAAGAAACACTTTTATTAGCATTTCCTTCTAAATATTCTGAGTATAAATTTTACAGTATCCTTTAAAGTCCTATGTTACCTATATCAGAGAAGAGAGGAGGAGGAGGAAGGGGAGGAGGAAGTAAGGAAAAAGAAAAGAAAGCAAAGACAGGGCAAAGAATGGAAAAGAAAAAAAATCTATTCTGTTAAAATATATTCTCTATTTCTTTTACAAATGATTGGACTGTAGACTACATTCCAAAAAGCAATTTGTTTCACAACTCAGAAATAAAGCTTATCAACAACAAAAATTAGAAAAAAATCCAAGTGTCTGAAGAGAAAAACAAACTATGATTATTGAAATCTACTGGACATAACACATGGTATAGAGCACAGAGTTACAGAGATTTACAAAATGCTTCAATTCCTTGTAAACATAATGTACCAGAGATCCCAGTTCAGAGGAACAGATCACCTGCCTAGGAAGAAGAGTCTTGAGACTTTTCTCATGCTGAGCTTTTATGGACTCATCATACCAGTTTGCACAGGAATGCAGGAATTATTGCAAAACGGCCCTCTTCTGTGAACAAATTAGTAAAGCTTCTAGAGAAAACTATTGCAAAAAAAAAATTTTAAAAAAAACTATCTTAACTTTTTCGTCTTTTTATAGAAAGGAGGCAATCTGCCAGCTCACCTGTATCAAAGCTCACACTTGGCATGATGTCCACTGTCCCATGAAAGGCTCCGGCCCATGCTGAGGTAGCAGTGGTGACTGTAGTCGGATCTGTCTTTGTGATGTCACACTGGGGAGCAGGAATCCTGGCAGCTCTCACTGACGGCATTAGCAGTGGCCCATATGCTGGATCCAGTGCAGAGCCAGCAGTTGGGTGATGATGGTGGTGGTGGTGGCGGTGGTGCATGTGGGGGTGAGGGTGGTGGTGTCGCATGTACATGTCATGCATGTGGCTGTAGGATGGGCTCACCTGAGATGCCAGAGGATAGTGCCAGGACTCAGATGCAGGAGGAGCCGAGGCAGGGCCAGTCTGATGCAAACCATGTCCTGGCCAAGGATTGGGGTCAGCTGCTGTAAATGTGCCATGGGGTGCAGTGACTTGGAAGTCAGGATGAACTCCCCCCAAACAGGGTGCTGGTGGGGGCTGGTAGGAGCTTGTCCAAAAGGAAGTTGGGAAACTACTCCGCTGGCTTGAGAGAGCTGAGCTGTCTGAGAAGACAGAAAACACAGTATTTACATAAGATTCAGTTCTGAGGTAGACTTGCCTTTACTTGTCTGACAAAGTTTTACAAGCAGGTGGATTACCATGCACTTTTTCTCTCTCTACAGAGGAGTGAGCTGATACTGGGTTAGCCTCTGGGCTCCCATGTCAAAGCAAGGGGCAGAATTTCAAGTGCTGAGTGAGCCCCCTGAATTTGCTTGCTGAGCTTTAATATCCCAATCTGTACTTAGGTTTTAGACACAAGTTGAGGACTGCAAAACTCCATTCCTGTTGGGAGCCTTGTCACCCTTAGGTTGAAGCAGATGTCTTTGATACACATTTTTCTCTGGTAAAGAAAATGTGTGCCATAGATGAAGTGTGTATAAATTTGGAATAGTTCCACTAAGTTCTTTTAAACACCAATAGGTTCTTCAGTTAAACTAGCATTTCAACGAGGAAAGAAATGGAAGACAATGTGCAGTTGTGCTCACCAAGTCACTGATCATTTAGAAGAATATATTTTAGTTTTTCACCTTTATAGAAACCCCAGAGTCTATGGCTGGGATGTAACAGTGGTTAACATTCCACGAGAGAAACCAAATACCAAACATCAGCTCAAATGCTTTTCATGATCCATAAGATCCTCACTCTAATCCCACGAACTAGGTATTTCCAGAAGTGAGAAAATGAAGACACGGAAAAAATCTAAGACATTGATAAAGACAAGCTTCCTATTTGAAGTCAGATAGCCTGCCTTAGTAGTAGAGGGCTGGCTGTTAGGGTTTCTAACTGCCACATGAGGAAAAGAAGAAGTCTGGAACCTGTTCACCTGGGCACTGAGATTCTGTGGAAACCATAACTAACAGAGAGTGATGTAGAGGCTGTGGTTTTCAGAACATGCCTGAAGGAGGTAGAAACTGCACAGTATACTTGGAGATAAGGAAAGAGGAGAGCAAATCCTCTATTTCTACAGCAATTCTCTTAATTCAATGGCTCAATCATCACAGTAAATTTATGGGTGATCTCATGTGACAAACATGGAGAATTCAAAAATCAATAGAAAGTTGTCATTTGAAATCACAATCTGGAAGACAGAAGAAGAAAAAGATGTGCAAATATTCTCAAGAGCAATCAGATCAAATAAGCTGAAGAAAGTGATAATCATGTCAAATTAGAAAAGTTGAAGAGGAGCATCCTATGAGGAAGTGAGATACAGTTCGAGGCTAAGGGTACAGGAGGAGAAATAAAAGCAGGTATGTTAAACACACAGTCTATGCACATATAACAGGCAATAATACCCTGATCAGCAGCAGCAGGAGTTAAGGTTATAGAATAAGTTCAGTAGGCAAACTTGGGCACATTTCCATAATATCTACATGGTTTTCTTGCCTCAGGGAAAGCATAATTAATTTGAACTAACTCCACATATATCACGAGGTTAACCAAATCAGTCCATCCCTGAAGTGCTCTAACATCTTCTCTACCTTCCCTAATTGCTGTTGCATTAGCAGGGTGGGACTGTCCATTCTCTCCCCTCTTGTCCTGTACCAGTACTGCAGTGATTCACTCCTTCACCCTGTAAACAACAACCCAAGTCTCACAGTCAAGCATCCCTCCTACAATATCACTATGGACCTCAGAACCCTTGGATAAATCCGTGAAATGATGCTGCTCTGGAATCGGGAAAGGATAGAACTGGTTACTCAAGACTTTAGGCATTACCAGCAAATGTTTAAATTAATGACAGTTTGCGACAATCACCATGGATTTAAAAAGCACTTAAAAATCAGGTTTATAGGCATTGTAATACAGCGTGGACACCACCCATCTGTAGTTTTGTTGATATAACTCCAATCTTTTGGACCAAATCCTTCATTCTGCTCATAGTCTCCATCTCCTGGTGCAACCAGAATCTGATTGTAAGAACTGACAAACCCCAAAACACAAATATGTGCTAGAGATGCAAAGTTTGTTTTATTGAAAGCCCTCATGAAAATGTCCAGAGTACAGAAAAAAATACCATTTTTTCTGGGTTTCTTCCTTTTGATTCTTGACATTTAAATGTACATGGAACCAATCTTATTTTACAGTTCTGTAGGCATTTTAGATGTGCATATGCAAATTCACATAATGAACAACTACCTTGCCAAAATATTATCCTGTTTATGAAGTACTAGACTGTGATGAGTGAACATATCATTGAAAGAAGAAATCTATTTTTAAAAAGGCACTCTTTTAAAATTGAGCAAAGCTTTAAAATCCCCCAGAGAAACATAAGATTAAAAGCAACTTAATACTTTCCCAGTCTCCAGAGGGTCTCCTGAGATTAATATAGTTTGTGAGGAGCTATGGAGCTATGTAGCCCTTTCAAAAAGTACTATTGTATTTTACAAGTGAAGCAATATTGAATGGAAAATATGTTCATGAAGAAATCAATACTTCAGAATCACTATTTGATATCTTGCTCGTTTAAAGAGAAAAAAAAAGTGACACAAAGAAACAGATGCTAAACTTTGCTCCATGCTGGAGATCCAGTGCTTATTTCATATGTATGTAAATATTTTTTCATTATGTGACTCTTTGCTTATGAGTACTTAATCATAGCCACATTTGGTGGATGAGGAACCATATGAAAAGCTATACAAGCTATTTCTATGCAATGTTACCTTTAAGGTTACTGGAAACAGTTTAGAACTTCATGATATTAAGGCTCAACATTGACCGTGGAGTCATCACTGTTCCGAATTCAGGTGATACTAGCATTGGATGGTGCTAACACAGACAGTCTAATAAGTACAAAAAAGCCAAATACAATTTGGTGGAGTTCACATTCAGGGACATACACAGGTTTATTTCTGAACAAGAGACAGTGTCTCAGAGAAACAGAAGAGCCTAATAGATCATAGATGGATACCAAGAACTCTTTTTAGCATTTCATAATAGCTAAGATACTTTCTGTAGTAAACCTAAATGTTTTAAAACAAAAACAACAACAACAAAAAAACCGAAGTATAAACAATCTATGGAAGAGAGAGTTCAAATTTTAATTTTTAAATAATGAAAGCAATATTAAAAGTAAAAAATGAAACAGCTAAATATTGTAGGCCCTCTACCTTAAGTCATTTTAATAATCTCCAGCAGATATATTATTATAAGTATGGATGAAAAACATTAAGGCCTGATATAATATTTTCATTAAAATGATTCATCAGGGCATGGTGGTGCACACCTTCAATCCCAGTACTGACAAGGCAGAGGCAAGTGGATCTCTGTGAGTTCAAGGCCAGCCTGGTCTACATAAGGAGTTCCAGGGCAGCTGGGGCTACCGGAAGACCCTTTCTCAAAAAGACCAAAAACAAAACAAAACAAAACAAAACAAAAACACCACCATATCAGTAAAGAAGAAAATATGCAGAAGAGCATTAGGTACAAGTTTGTAATTCCAACACTTGGGAGAAGGAGGAGATTGGAAGATTGTGCAAGTTCATGTACAGCTGAGACTACAGAGCATGTACCATGTACCGTGTGAGCCAGGGCTACTCTGGAGAAGAAGGAACAGGAGCAAGAGGAACAGGAGGAGGAGGATAAGGAGGAGGAGGAGGAGGAGGAGGAGGAGGAGGAGGAGGAGGAGGAGAGAAAATGAACTCTACTTAACTGATTCTTAACCTAAAGTGCTCTCGATAAGATTAAAGGCCCATTCCCTTATTCCACCTCTCTTTTCCATGAAAACAGGTCATAAATGAAACATTTGCTTCAGTCTTTTCTGTCATTCAATAATTATGCATTACTAGGATGTCCAACGACTGCCCTTTAGGCACTTTGCTGGAGCATTGCTCAAAATGGGCCTGTGACTGCAATGGGAGCTGCGTCAGTGATGTCAGAATCCTGTGTTCCTTAAGGGCAGTAGATGAGATAAGTCCAGCTTCACTTTCACGAGCTCTTCTATTTTTCTGGAAGCAAAAAAACTCAGGGTCCTCCTGGAGATTACAGTCAGGTCCTTCATTCCCAACCAACCACCTCTAGAGAGAGACCTCCACTCCCTTTCTCCTTTCTGCTATTTGACTTTATTTATTTTGAGAGCTTTTCCCAATGACTCAGTTACTCCAACTAGACACAAGCTGCATCAGCTAAACAATAGATAGTTTGCTTAGAAACTACAAGAAAAAATGCCAATAACTGCCATTAAGTATAGTTTTTGAGATCTACTTTGATATAGCATGATTTTAATACTGCCCTTTTTCAACACTCATGAACAGATGCGTGTGTGTGTGTGTGTGCTCAATTGTGTGTGCACGGCCGCACACGCACACACACACACACAGGCACACACACAGGCAATCATATTTATTTTTGTTTCCTTAACTGGAGAGCTCTATTCATGACTGGTGAGAATGCATAGTGAGAGCTGAGGAAATTCAAAAGATGTTGTACAAAATTAAGGTACAAATATTCATTTCATTAATTGTTTGTCAACAGCTGCAAAATATCTCTACTGAAATATCCTAGCTCCATCAAGAAAATATGCATTCAAATACAACCATTATTTTATTAGCAGATACACTATCTTTGTCTAAAAATTTACTGTGGAAATATAGTCTATATTCAAACATGATTCAGTTTTATTTATTTATTATTATATTTTTTGTTCCTTTTTAGAGAGGGTCTCCCTGTAGTCCCATCTGGCCTGGAACTCACTATGTAGACCAGGCTGGCCTTGAACTCACAGAGATGGTATGCCTCTGCCTCCTGAGTGCTGGAATTAAAAGCATGTGCCACCATGCCCGGATCATGATTCGGTTTTAACTTTATCTGTATCCCTGTAGCACATCAGTAGGACTATAATAACTTCAATGTGTAGACTATATCAGTTAATGCAGTCAGCATCTTCTTTGAAAACTGTACTTAATGGTGCCATTAACATTATTAATATCTTTGAGTCCCTGCTAGACCCAAGACACTGTTTTGTACTTGAAATATGAGCTTCCCCAAACAAGATTTCTGAAAAAGGACTCAAGATTGGTTTTCCATATGTCAAAGAAGTGAAACCTTACTTAAGGAGGCATCTGACTTGCCTTGAGCATCTTGTTCCAGCTCTGTGCTACATCATTCATATACACTACCAGAAATTCTTTATAACAACCCTAGAATATGATTAGTAGAAAGCATATAGCACACTTGGGAAAGCTGATCTCATAGAGAGTTTAAATTCTTAATTCAATACCACATTATAACAAGCAAGGAAGAAGGCTTAATCTAAAATGAGTAGGTTCTAAAGACTACATTTTCTAATCCTGTGTAGTTTGTCAATATTAAATTCTCACTAATTCTCTTCACTTGATATGTGAATCTTGTAGCTTATTTTTTTTTTAATTTCTACATCTGTAGTTAAATTTTGTGATGCCTATGAATCCCAGGCAAGTTTAGTATGCTGAACTCAAATGAATTTGCAGCTAGGAATAACAATAATAACACTATTTTTTCATAAATGGAAAGTAAATAATGTATCTGAAGTCATCGAATGTTGTGCAATAAAAGATGTCAGCAAGTACTTGATTCAGTGCCTTAACTGTAAATAAAACTATACTCAGTGTGCATGCCTATAACCCCAGAGCTCTGTGGGGCAGAGAGGAGGATCGCTGGAGTTTGCTGGATGCCAGTCTAGGTCCAGTTTCAGAGACAGCCCTGTCTAAAGGGATTAAGGTAAAGAGTGATAGAGCAGGACACCCAAAGTCCTCCATTCTCCTCATGCAGGTGCATAGGCTCAGGCACCTGCACAAACAGGTGTTCATACAATGCACACACATACACACACACACACACACACACACACAAGGAGTACATCACAGAAGAAGGAAGGAGGAAGGGAGGAAGGAAAGGGGGTATAGGGGAGGGAGAGTGGGAGGGGAAGACAAGAAGATAGGGAAGAAGAGAGAAAAAAAGAAGTAGAAGGAATGAGAGAAGCAGAAGTGAAAAGGCAGAGAAACAAGGGGAGAGGGAGAAGGAAGAGAACAAGAAGAAGGGAAGATGAGGCTGAAGAAAAGTGTTGTATCTATAGATACACCAGCAGTGCCAGCTGAGTTCCTCTCCTGTAACAGAGCACAGCCATGCCTGTGACAATGGCATGAGCCTCATGCATGTCAGCAGCCTTTCCTCATCACAGGGACCACTCAGGACAGTTTTAGACTGTGATTCCAACTGCCTTCCTGTGAGCATGCTGGCTCAATACACATTTGGAATAGGTCTTTAAGACCACCAGGTCACTGATTTCCAAAGTTGACCTTGCTTCTGATTCTCTGGCAGGGCTTGGTAAGCACAGAATAGTTTAACTTGGAGTAGTTTCTCCATGGTTGTGATGAGGACCCAAGAAGTTGCTTTCTAACAAGTTCCCTTGAAATGTCTATGCTCCTGATCATGAACCTACATTTTAAAAAACACTTTTTACCAGACACTTCTTATAACCAGGTAAGTCTGGAATGAAATATCTGCCTGTGCAACATTTCTCTGAAGCTATTCAGAATGATGCTCTATTTTCCCTCTCCAGTTATTTTCAATCACCAGGATTAATTACCACTGACTTTTTTTTTAAATCTATAAAGATGCAAACAAATCCCTGTGTCTGTGCCTGCCACATAGAAAGAAATAAAGTTCATTTAATCCGCAGCTTTTTGTTGACTGGTGTAAAAACATTAGTTTAAATCATAGAGTCGCTGCCTGTAAGACTGGACTCTACACTGTAAATTGTTCACAACATATCGGCAGAGAGAATGCCTCTGGGAGAATACAGAAGGCTTTCGAAGTCTGTGTTCCTGAGTCAGACTCATAACTCGGCTATGTCATCACATAACACCTAGTGGAATGAGAAAGCTAATTTTTTTAGAAGCTGATCCGGGCACGCCTATTATTTAGAGATCTAAACTGGGCCATGGGGGCTTTAAGAATGGCCTTCAATCTGGACACTATAAAGTGGGGCCACTTGTATCACTGCTTTCCATGAGGAATTTAAGGGGTGTGACTGCATCCTTTCCAACCCTGCATTCCACATGTGACAAAACTGATCCAGCTGTTTGTCTGAGAGAAATTCCTTGCTGTCCTTAAAAATTAAAAAGCAAGTGGATATCCGTTCTCCAGGGGAAAGCCTCCAGCTGGAGCCTGGTAGAGGCAGTTGCGAAACAGCGGGCTCCGGAGGGCATCTGCTCTCAAATTCTTACCTCGCCAAAGGGGGGTTAGCCCCATCTTGCTTTTTGAAATGGCAGATTCTGGATGCAAGGTGCTGGCTTGGCCCAAAGCTCTTGAGAAGTGTTCATCCACTACTGACCCAATGTCTCCCTGGAAATAAGTGAAAAGGACACAGCGAGAGTTAAGGTACTCCATCTCGGCAGGCTGGTCTTTCTCCTCCTCCTCCTCCTCCTCATCCTCCTCCTCCTCCTCCTCTTGTTTGCTGGGAAGCGTGACTTCCAGAGAGTCCTGCATCTTGCTGAATACCGCTAACTTCTGGGATGGAATAAACAAAACACAGTATCAAAGAGAGTTTGTAAAAAAGCATTAACTAGTTAACTTTTCACTTTAAAAAAATCTAAATATTAACATATGTTTGCAAACTGATTCTCCTTCATCTGCTTTACTCAGTCCCACCCGCCCCACAAACCAGTTGCCTGCTTCCCACACTGAAAAAAAAAGTCTGTTATTCCAAATTTGCCAAAGGAAAAAAAATCATTATCAAATTGGATAATTTCAGTGTCAGACAGAAAATTTGTTTTTGTTTTAAATCAAAATGTGCTAAACAAACGACTTTTTAAAACTACTAAAGGATTTTTTTCCATATTTTATTCCTGCTCAGTTATGATTTACCTTTAAAAATTTGATGTATGCTAACAATCTAGTTTAAGGCAGAGAATAGGAAACAGGAGACCTGACTGTCCAGGATAGAGTGGAAAAGAGAAGAGATTTTCATAAATGAAATATACTAAAAGAAAAACAGGAATGCAGCATCTTATAAAAGGATTTGGCAGATGTGCTGAACTTATTTCTCAAAAATCAAACTAAAATGACAGAGTAAGTCTGTGTGAAGATCCATTTTGCATGGAACATATTTTTCAGATGTTCCACTTACCACCATTATCATAGAGGGGGAAGAAAGATTTTATTGTGGCTTATTGAAAATAACACAAAATACTAGCAAGGATTAGCTTTTCAAATAAAATTAAGAAAACTTTGATATTTTTAAATATTTCAACTTGACGATAAATAAAATAATCATTAATATATTATCCCAGATGCTCTCGAAAACCATATATTTCCTCAGCTAATTTTTCCATTCCTATGGCACAGTTATTCTTGATATTCGTATATTAAAGATAGAGACACTAAGATACAGAGAAGTTAAGTACCCTGCCAATAGTCACCAAGCATACAACTGACGGAGCCAGAATGCATTAGAAAGTAAGCAGGTATAGATAGCACGTGCATACATGCTGTGGTGCAAGGAAGGAATATCTAGCATGGGAGGAAAAAAAACACCAAGTATTTATGATCAGTATTATTTTTCTGAATGGAAAGTTGGTAGTTAACTGTTTTTTTTTATTACGCATGGTTTTCAAATTTTTCAAGCATTTTCATTAAACATGTATCATTTACATTACAAAGAAAATCAATGTGAGTTATATATAATGCTAAAGCTTAAGAATATACTATGTTATTGACCAAATAAGCCATTGCTGTCAACTGTTTATTATATTAGCAAAATTTGGTCTCACATCATATTATTTTGTTATTTCAGAAGAAAAAGAGCATGATGGAAAATGAATGTGAATAGCAAAAGCGGACTTTCCAGAATCCTCGGTACTTTCTCATGGATTATCAAAACGCATAATCCAGATTTTTTTGTTTCTAATATACCTACTAGTTTTCAAAAGTATACAAAAATTAGGGTGTATCATTCAGTTAATCAAATGTTTTCTCCTAGCAACAAATATATTATTCTTATTTGAGGTGGTTCTTTAAACACTCAGACACATTGTTAAGGCTGGTATTTACACGGGAGCTGTCATTTATAATATATATACTGAATTTTACTTAAAATTTTGTCGATGTAGTTATCAAATTTTTTGGTAATAGATTATTTATTCCATGTGAATGAATATGTCTTGTTGATGAATAGTCAATTACAATGTTTTCTGGTTATATTTCCTGCAATCTGTTTTTGCTCAACTTTGAACATATTTATACTTCAAAAGTAAAACATTTTATGAGCATAGTCTATGCATAAAATGAAGGAATCAAATTCAATGACTTCTAGATTTAAATTCCAATATAAAATTAAATAACTTTCATGATCTATCAGTCGATCACTGTGCTGTTTTCCTGGGTGCATCTGTGTTTACTCAAAACCTATGTGGTAACAGTTATGCACAATTCTGTCTTGTCTATTTTAGCATGTTAGAAGGAAACACCATTTTTATACTGAAAAGAAATTAAAATCGATCTAATGAGCAGTTTTACTACCTACAAATATTCATTATTACCTAAAAAATGATATTTTCTTGCTAATGTTTAGCATAGCATCGATTTAGAAGAGTGAGATCTGCATACACATATTCCATTTGTTTAATATTTACATTGTGTTAATTATCCAAATAAAGGTATGGATTTATTTTGCCCTCAAATAACAGCAATTAATTATTAAATGAAATAAAGTTAAACATGTTTAAAATACTTGAAAGCTATTAAACCTAATACAAATGTAAAAAAAAAAATCATTGTGATGGATGACAGCAATCATAAGATACCTTCCTTTTTAATTGCTGGCAATTGAATTTAAGCTATGGGTTTTCAATCTAAGATTACTCAGCTTTCTAAATGCTATGTAATTTGGGGGTTTATTTTTTCCACCAACTGTGTTATGACTGGCTCCAAATAAATTAACCTTTAAAATCACATACTCTTCAATAGACAATGGAGAAAAATAAGCTAAATCTTGTATTAAAATACTTGTTACTAGTTTAGTGTTTTTAAAAAATCATTCTCTTGTCAATGCATTTATTAATTTCCATATTTTATACTGCAACATATATCTAGTTACACTTGCATAAATATGCATGATAAACATTCCCTTTTGGCATTGTGGAAACTGTGGTTCTTTAAAAAGAGATTCTATTATATCCCAACAATAAGAAACATAGATATTTATGATTCCAAGTTGTACTTCTTTTTACATAAAGTTGGTCCAAATATCATTCATTAGCTGTAATGAACCTATTTAAATGTTTATATGTTCAACATATATTTGGCCTCACACCATCACAGTTTAAAATAAGAATTGTAAAGTATTTAAATGGTATACTAGCTACCTAAAATGCTGTTTGAATTTGTATAACTGTTTTAATTTAAGTGTGTGCATGAAGTAAACAAACACATCATTTAAACAGTGATTGGCTCCTTGCTGACAGCCACATTACCTAACTTTCTTCACATATTTGAGCCCCAACCACTTTCTCACAACAGTGCCTTGTGCCTGTGAATAAATCTTTTGCCTTTTCTTTAAAGTATTCTTTACATGCATTTTTGCCTCATTTAATATTCACTTGATTTTTACTCTTCAAATGCTATTTCCCTGGGGTTAATATTTTTGAATCAAATTCAAAAGGCTGAGATTAAATATCAAATTGTCAGAACACAGATTTCTGGAATCAAGGTCAAAATGTCCCCTACTTCTTATTTTTTCAAAATGTACTAACACTGCATAAAACATATCCAAATATTTCACAAATATTAATATTAATCTTACAAGACACTAAAGAATTGTTAAAAATATAATAAAGCAACCGGCAGAGCCCTTAAAGATTATGGGTTGGGACTAGAGAGATGGCTCAGTGAATAAAGTACTTGCCAAGCAAGCATGAAGAACAGAGTTTGGGTTCCCCCCAAAACCATGTAAATGTTAGGTGGGCTTGTTGGAAGCCCACAATTCTAACACTGAGGAGGCAGGGACAAAAGATCCCTGGAGCAAACTAGTTGGGCAAGCCTAGTCCAATCAGTGAGCTCTGCACTCAAGTGAGAGACGCTGCATCAATATGTAATGCGGAAAAAAACTGAGGAAGACATCCGACCTCTACATCTTACCTTCACATGAACTCATATACATGTGCATGTGCATCTGTACACACAAGTTCAGTCATACATATGTGAACATGTATAGATAGTAACACATGCACCACACACACACACACACACACACACACACACACTCACACACACACAAAGACTACAGGTTATACACAATACACATTTAAATTTCAGTGCCACTGAATAGTAATGGCAATTTTCCCCAGGTAACAGGATTCAAGTATGGTGGAACAATGAAGGGGTTAACAGTCAAAGTTGAGGCCAGTTCCCAGAGGTATAAGGCAAAAGAGTGTAGGAGGTGACTTAGGCACTGCAAAACATAGTGACCACCTCAGAGCCTGCCATCAGGCACAACAGAAATAAACTTCAGCAGGAATGTGCAGGGGAAAGGATTTGTCTGACAAGAGAAAGACTTCCAGGTCAGGAGCCAAATACCACTAACTCCCCAAGGCTTAAGCAGCAAAATGCCAAATGCTTATTGTGCATGTGTGGAAACTTTTTTCCTAAGGAAACAAAACTATTTTAATGAATCACCAAAATCATTGGATATTTAGAAACAGTTTTTTTTTTATTCTGCTTACTATCTCCTTTAAATGTAGTGACTTTAATATTCAAAATCATGATTAGCATCTGTAGAGAAAAAAAAAACCACTAGCTTATTTCAAAAGCATAAACTCCATAAAAACAATCCACTGGTCTTTTAT